GTGGTGTGCCCCACTGGCGACTAGTAACGCTTCCAGCTCTGCCCTGCGCATACGCACATCGCTCCCGTGAGTCACCTCCAACTGAAAGTTATGGACTTCTTTCAAGAAAAACATTTTTTTTTACAGATTGTTAATTAAAAAATTGGAACCATCATGAAAAATAAAAGGAAACATTTGGAAGGTTCGAGATTAAATTGATACTCAGAGTTAAAATTAGTTCTACTGCGATACATGAACTGCTACAACCAACAATTACTGATACAAGCTGTACATAAGGAAGCATAAATAATGTATTAAAAACTTACCAAAATGAACTTGCAACACAACACACAGACAAAAAAACGGAAGAAAAAAACACAGCAAAATGAAAAACAAAGCCATTCCATAGAATAAAGTTTAATAATAAAAAAATTACAACAAAGAAATTAAAATTAAAGCTCGGAAGAACATGATTTTGTACAAACTATAAACAATATATTTATATTCTAATTTCATTGTTAGTACATTATAATAACAGTCCATTGTATCAAAACTTGAATTACTATCATAAATAAATCTACAACCATAGTTATTTTGGCTCTAGTACTTCTTTAATGGCCATGTTTGTAAGAATAATGTAGAATGTATCTCCGATTACATATTTTTTACTTCCACAGAGTTCTGAATGAGTATTATAAGAATTGCTCTAACAACATATTTCTTATTCTCGGTGGTGCAAACTCGGCACCGGACTATTTGCTATGATCACTTATGCAGATTGGCACAGTAAATTCACAGTTAGTCATTGTGGAAATGACATCTACATGTTTTGGAGATAACAAGAAGGCTAACTAATTATAGTCTACTCGCTTTAAAAAAATATTGAGGTATTGATCAAGCTCCGCATTCTGACCAATCAGGTTCGAGGCTTTCGTATGAAACGATAATTTCTTGGAACCTGATTGGTCAGGGCTGGCTAGTCGATGCGTCACCATATTCTTAACGCTAAATGTACCATAGTGTATAGCATCATTTCACAATTCCACCATTTGAATTGCTTAAGCTTATTGCTTAAATGCATATTTACTTCTATCATATAAATAATATGCAGCATTTTATATTAAAAGTACTTTTTTTGGCCATATATTAATGTAAATATATTACTAGAGCCAAAATACTCTTTAAACCCTAACTATTTTAGGGTACACTACTATTAGACACCTAAATAACGCATATAATGTTAGCTCTATGATGAAATCATACGACAATGCAAAACAACTATACAATAGATATAACTAAGTTAAATGCGATTATTCAAAACATTGTGATTCCTTTCAACCTATCTACATAGGCACTTAAGCTTAAAATATGAAAGTTTCATATTTTAATAAATTTACATTTATTGTCAATTAATAAATAAAATGCATTACAGGAATCAATGGTCATACTCAGTTATACTTAAATTAAATGTTCATATTTCATTTTAGTTTATATAAAAACCGTTACAGGTTTTATATACATAAGCTACTTTTAAAGCTATAAGTCGTAGCCATCAAATATTAAAGCATGGTCACATGGTTATTGGCAAAGGTTGGCGAACTTATATTAAAATAAGTAAAGTTCTGTTTAATATTGTTATAATATAATAACCTTTTGGAAAATTGGGCAAACTGTGCTTATACATTTTTAACATAAATGTATTGGTCTCACAAAGTTTATTAAATCTTTTATTAGAAACATATTTTGAAAAGATATTTTACTAAGAACAAAAATCTACTATTAGTATCGGTAGACTGGTGGATATTGCTAATCTGTTAGGTGTCAAAGATAGTAACATTATAATCAAACGACTAGATGCTTACAAGTATGTTTGTTCCTTAAAGCAATAGTAGGTTATTAGTATGCAGTTGAAACGCTAGTGAACACGTGACTGATATAGTAGCCCAATTTTCTAAGGTGCAGGTTCTATGTATCAGCATGAAAACGAAAAACGCTGAGCAAAATAATTACTAAAAAGCTACGTACTAACAACATCGATAACAACGCAACGTAAACTGATGATCAAATAAAGGTTTTACTACAAAACTATGTTAAACTATTTTTTTTAGTTGATCTTCAGTAAGGGAATAGAACCGTCTCGCTTTTTAATATATCTAAAGGATGAAAACGTAGCCTACGTTCAGAAGACACTTTTCCTTGAGATTATTTAGTTTCAAAAGCTTAATGTTTGTTGACGTTTTAAGGGACTTTTGTGTGGATATAATAAAATAAAAAAATGTCATACAGTAAAATCTGCTTTTGATTGTATGACATTGACTTTGTTAATGAATTAAAAAAAAAAACATTTTGAAGACAAGTTTTGTAGTAATACTAATTTGAAACAATGTTTTCATCATGCTTATAAAATAGCATAAAATACCCTACAGTTTGAAAAACGATTTGGGAGACCCTAAATGAACAGTAGTGACTTTTATTATTGTTAAAAGATGGAGACAGAGCAAGTAATGACACTATATGTTAAAATATATTTTGAATTATAATTTTATTAAATATAAGTTTTGATTCACATTCAAAGTCACTATAATATGAGTCTAATGTAATGGAAAATCTCTGATGTTTAAGGCAACAGCTGTGTTTAGTGGTTTCAAGATGAAAACCGAGAGTTATAGTTTAATTGAGTGGCATTCCGTAGACTTGTTTTCAAAGCATGACCAAAAAGTCCTTAAACACTCCGTTCCATAGGCTGTTCCGTACTTCAATATTTTCCTAAACATCATCAGAAAACGTCGCATAACGCCACATTAAATAAGTTGATATAAGCTAAAATCTCTTTTGTAGTTCAAATAGCGACAGACTACAGAATATAAGCTTTCATAACTTATTAATCTTTGTTTTTTATTAAAGCTTGTGGCTAAGGTGTTCGGTGGGAATATATGCCTCTTTGTATTATATCAGTGAACATATAAAATTAGGAAGTATGGCTGGCATTCACGGAGTATTTATTCCAATTAAATTATTGTGGATATAATAGTTAATTTTCTACAATAATTTATAGCGCCGTTGTTATGAAGTTAAAAAAAAACTAATTTTGAAACGCTAGCAAACTTAAACGTAATAAACTTTGTGCAATGCCATATCCGGCAAGAGAGCAGAAGAGGTCTGCACTGAGTGTACTTGCTGACGCGATACTGATAACCAGGTCACTTAAGGCCCAGAGAGCTTTTTTCCCTTTGTGCTTTCTGCTGCTAGCCACGGCAGCTAAAGAGTCCCTACAAGGGATGACTGCGCTGGACAAGAAAATCCTGGAGGAGGTTCAGTCCCCATGAATGAGGTAGACTTTTTAAGACAAGGAATGTGGAGGGTGCATAAAACATGCATGTGGGTTCCCTGGACTCTTAGTCTAGCATGGACTATGGCTATTTATGGCACCCAAAACGAACTCGGGGTACTGCAGAGTGTCACTGACACGGAGTCCCTATGAAAGATTAAGTCGGAGATCGCCGACAAGTTTAGGACAACCAACAAGGCTATCAAACTGTCCAAGAAGATCTATTACTCCAAACTAGCTTAGGGAAACTTAATTGGTCTAACTGAGTCCCATTCCAGGTTAGATCAAAGCATGTATTCGCTGGGCAGAAGGTAGTTAATTTTATACTCTTTTTACAAATATATATATCCGAGTAAAAAAAAAAATCGAAAGTTAAAAAGGATTCGTTATTGAAAATATAATTGGCAACCCTATTTGTGAATGCCAGCCTTACTTAATAGGTAGGTACTGTTGTTTTATACGAAATCACTGATCACGAAAATATTTATTCGAATGTGCAGTGAATTTGTTTGAAATATTTGGACTCTACAATGATAATCACTGTGATAATATCTGATGATTCTCGATTGTTTACAAATACTATAGTAATGTCAATATTGACGATATCGAAATTTCATTTGGCCTCATTTGGTTGAAGAATAGAATTAAAGTTCATATAGAAAACAAATTCTACAGCAATTATGAATTATATCTAAATAGATAGGTTCGTTGTTGAGTGAGTGGATCATTTAAAACGCAAATAAATACACTTAACGATATAGCTACATAACTATGCAATTGACCTTTGTTCAATTCTTTTAAACTTAATTTTAAAAACTGTTTATGTAATATACTAAGACCAATTTACAATTTTCTTTAATCTCACTATGAGGTGATACATTTTACATGACCAAGTTTATTTGAAACATGTTAGGAACACCTCATTGAACGGGGCTCGGGCTGTATCTTTCTGGCGTGAGATTTAGTTATTGTTGTCAAATGGGTAAATTCTATTTCAGAAAACTCAAAATAGTACAAAGATAAGAGGTAGAATTAGAGATGAAACGGATAGCTGTTTAGTCGGATTCCGGATATCCCGCTGCAGGATACATTTTTAATAAAATTGGGGAAAGTGTGCTATGTTTTACTTACAGGTTGTACGATTGCTTTTTTAAAATAGCAAAATAAAGATTACAGTACTTGCCCAACGGTTGAGAAAAAAGAAACAATTTTTTAGCCTCCATAACATTTTTTGCTATCCTTGCACATGCTTTCTCTATTTAATTGTCATTTAACTACTATGCAATCTCACCCTTTCATTTTTTATAAAAAATATTGGCAACGTTAATTAATTTGAACATCCCTATGACATCACAGTATGTTCTCCGTTATCGATACCTATCAGTCCCTAACCTAAGGATTATAGTTGTTATGTGGCGAAACTTTTTATCCGGTTTACGGATATAAGTTTAACAGCGAATAGGCCGAAAACTCAATAGTTGCCGGATATCCGTTTTATCTCTAGTACTAATATTGCTTTAACTTGAAGTGAAATTTTCAATCACGCCTCAGTTCCAATGAGTTTTGATAGAATGTTATGAGACCTCTCCCTCCGATTTTGAGCTCACATAATCAATGGATGTTCCTTACATGTGGTCACAGTAAATTATCACCGTGTTTAACTACGCAACAATCGAGAACCATGAGGTCACAACTAAGAGTGGCTCACTTGTTGCCTGTTGTCCTGACAGACGACGTACTCGGTGAGTGTGACGTCAGCAGCCCCGCCGGACTCCAGCGGGATGGGATTGGCACGGAAGTGTTCCAACATATCGTGGACGTTTGGGAACCACAGGTGTTGGACTCTGCATTGGCCGGTTTCTGAGAGAGTCATACGTAAATGTTTGGCACGACCCTGGAACGACGAGGTTTGAATTAGTTAATACTGATACGTGTTTACTGAAGGAATGCGTGATAGCCCGATGATGGATAACCATGCAAATAAAATGAATTGGAAATTTTGCAGGTATTGGGCCAATTAGAATATGCTTATTAAATTTTGTTATACCAATGTAGCACTTGCATTGGCTCTCGCTTGGCAAGTAGCTGAGTGAAAACAATATTATACCTAGTTGCGCGATAATAATGAGACGAAAAAGAAGAAAGGACTGCAAGGTGTCCAAAATAAAGACGGCATTCTATACAAAAATCTGTTTTTATGTTGGTTATATCGACATAACTTTACAAATCATTATGTAATTTAAGGGACAAACCGTTACGGTTCAATATATTAAAACACATTGCGTATTCTATTTGAGTACTTACTGCAATAGAACTGCCAGAGCACGCAATGACTTTTTTATTACGACAGAGGGGAGTACGGTCTTTTCTCGAACCAAATTGCTTATAGGAATAATTCCATACATTTTATACGAGAATATTTGGCGACCCTGAGAACTGTCAATCTTGTGTGACTAATATGTATACATTATAAATGTGAAAGTGAGTTGGTTTGTTACGCTTTCACGCTTAAACCACTAAACCGATTTTTTAAATTCTCTCACCAATGGAAAGCTACACGAGTCATTATACATTTCAGCGAGTAACATACTTTTTACCGCGATAACCAATACACACGCAGGCGGAGCCGCGGACAAAAGCTAGTCCATACTTATATGATAAATGTGAAAGTGAATTTGTTTGTTTGTTACGCTTTCAAGCTTACACCACTAAACCGATTTTACACATACGAACACACACACACGGGCAAAATCTAGTGGATTAATAAACACTATTCGAATTCGTCAGAAGAGATTCTGTACGTCACATGTGTTTTGTGTGTATTGAGTCATGTGTGCTTGCTTATAGTTACCTATAATATGTTTATAATTATAAATGATCGAAACTCGGTGAATACACACCTGAAAATTAAAGGTGAGCACATATTCTCCCCGTCGCGTCTCGCTCTGTCGCACGAGGTAGCAGCCGTGCCCCGCGGCGCCGCCCGCCAGCACGCAGCCCGCGGCCGCTGAGCGCGCCAGCGTGCCGTGGAACCACGGCCACTCACCCAGAGACACGCGCGACGACGACTCACACGCCTCTTCTGCTATTGGACCTATAAACGAATGACTTTTGTGATGCTCAATTGAATTCTCACAGATGTACATCAAGAATGAGTTGCTTTTTATTATTAAACTAGGTGCACCGATGGTTGCATTGATGAAAAATAAGGAACAAAACTGATACGAAAAATAGATAAAAATCTTATTTAAAGCGGGTCGTATAACGTGTCATAATTTGAACTCAATCGGTACAGAACTTTTCGAGTTTTAAAAGCTCACTTGACTCGATTGTCACGCTAACCGCGTTCGGAGTTGTGATTGGCCCGAATTAAACTCTTTACCAATCACAACGCCTAACGCGGTCACTGGGACGATCGAGTAGAAGTGAAATGAACTTACTAGGCCCTGAAGGTAACAAGTAGTAAATACTCACTGTTATACAAAAATTCAGCATCCTCTGTAATATCGGTAGCTAAATCGACATTACTAGAACTAGAAGGTAGGTCTCTTCTTGGTGGCAGGTCAGGGGGTGCCGGCTCTGGCAACCCTGGTAGTGCATCGGGCGGTGGCTGTGTAGTCGGCGGTGACCGCATGCAGTACTTGATAGTTGCTAACCAAGACTTCATGTCGTCGACGTCCGCTGCTTCTATTACGTATTCCATATTGTTATCAGCCTGAAACAATTTAGATATATAAACGAAGATTCAGGCTGCAGTCAATAAAGTAATATCAAGTTTAGAACGGTACTACACGGATAGGTTTAAGTTTCCTATCTACTTTAAGATATATACTTTTTTAGTTAACCAGAAAAACTGTTATTAGCCAAACTATCTGTGTATGTTATTAAGTTATAAAATAATTGTATCGCTGTTGTTTTTTCAATAAATAAATAAATGATCATATCAATGGCCTAGTTATGGTCGCACCTATAAAATTTGCAAATCATATTGTTAAAAACTATTGTACCTAACCAAACAAAATCTATATGTAACGAAAACTATCAGGAAATATTTAATTACTATAAGGTGTTACCATTTACCACTATTCAAAGTAAAATTAAAAATGCCCAATGTAAAACAAACATTGGCGATAATAAATGTTATGCCTCATTTCAATAACTTGTATGGTACTAGAACATGTATGATGTATCTACATGTTCTAGTACCATACTACCTAAAGTTCTCAATAGTTTACCAGATAAAATAGTTCATAAATACATAACAAACCAGCTTTACTTGAAAATTATGAAAATCCTAGCGCAGATAAAATATAAGCACATACTGAATTAGATAGATAATCTCCTCTCCCTCTCGTATAAAAACCTCTGCAGTGTTAGCGAGTAGTTTGTGTTAAAAGAAATGTATTTTGTAACAGTTTGATCAATAAAGGAAAAAAAATTTCAAAGAGCACATACATGCAGGAAGTCTACAATATTCTTATAAAAGTCAATTTTTAAAATATTAAGTTTATTATACTTTATTTATGACAGACAATATCAAACTGTAAATTGTGAAATAATTACAAACAATTATTAGGAAAAAATACTTCCGGTATGTAATACCTCCGGTTTATAATGTGACTACAATATTTTCTAGGTAAAATTACTAATAGCCATAGTCATCCAGATGAGTGTGAGGTGTCTAAAGTCATTATTATTATGATGAATATTAGAATTTGTTGGAAAAGTGTTTATGTCACATTAAAGGGAAATTTGCCAAGTACAAGATAAAAACAGAAGAATATAATAATAAAAAATACAATACTAACTTTTAAACTTGCATGCTCCAAGGTTAACATGGAAATGACGGCAACCATGTAACAGAAAATTAATTCTTGTAATAAAAATTCGAGCAAATTTAGTTCAAATCTCATCACAATCATACAAATGTCATAAAAGGTATTCTTATAGTAAAGTATTGCTCAGAATGGTAGAATATTGATTCAATGTTAGATGTTTACTACTTTGCTATGACAATATTATGACATTGCGAGAGTAGATCGGAACTAAATTTTAAACAATTTTTATAACGAGAATTGACCTTCCAGTGTTATAACCAGGTGTCTACCTGTGGTTTGTGGTTGGTGAATATGATCACACATCTTGAACATTATTATCATAACATACAATGTTGATACACATAGTAGTTTTGTCACTGAATTTCTATTTTGTGTATGCTCACAGATACCTTAGTTCTGTTTTTGAGTAATTACTATTTCATCATAGTCGTAGATTAGTGTCGGTTTTAAAAAAACTAATAGTCACTTAACTTATAGTCAAGACATATAATAAAGCTATAATTTTTACATTTTATAATAATAAGTAAGTAATCCAGTAGAAATTTGTACACTTCATATAGATATCTTTTGAGTGGGTACTTAATTGGGTGTTAAATCTGGTAATGGTTGACGGGTGCAATATCCCTTTGGTACTCCAGGTCCTTGGGGACCCAGGAAACAGTAGAATGTGTTGTTTATACAAAAAAACCACAATAATTGTGATATCAGGTCCCCTCTGAATCATTGCCGGAACCAGGCCCCAGGCAAATATAGTATACTTAGATATTTACTAGAATTCATATAAGAGAAAGTAGTTACCTTCAATACAAAAGTATTTTCATGATCAGGCATTTCTAATGCAGTAGTTTCCCGAGCCTCCGAGATTAGAAAACAAAACACTCCACTTCGAGGTTTCTGTGCCTTTGGTGGAGAATAAAATTCCAACATGTAACCACCAACAGTTTTTACTAGTGCCAGTCTGCATTTCTCCCATTTTTGTGGACCTGAAGGCTGCTCTAAACTCTCTGGAGTTAAGTAATTTACCAAGCCTTCTTTTCTACATTCTACAACTATCTTAGCTAATTTAGTCTTGTTGTGTTTGTTCAGATTAGTCGAAAGCTCCACTTCATCAGAGTGCTGCTTATGAAATAATCCCTTTCCACGCCTTAAACCCTTGAAAGATAACCTTCGGAAAAAAGGTTTATGTAGTGTTTTTGGCGAGTCTGTGTCTTCTGAATAGTCGCTTTCATCGTGACCAGTGTGCGTGCCGTTAGGGAGTTTGTGCAGCGACTTTAGTTTTCCGATTTCGTACTCAAACTGCTCCGAGAAACATTCAACGAATTTCTTCAATAGATCCTTGTGCGAGGCTTGAGATCGCGTTGTGGAGTCGTTGGTACCTGTTTGTACATATTGTAAGCAAGCCTTGGCGAAGTCCTGGGCGGCGGTTTTGGCCTGACGCTCGCAGAACTCGACCCATCCGTCGGGATCGCCGTCGGACGGGCCCGCCATGGCAAGCAATTTCTTTAGCAGCTCCACTTGGATGGCGTTTATTTAATACTTTATACTAAACACAATAACTTTGTAAATTTGATTCACAATCATTTGCCCTGATAACGAATTTCATGCCAAACTTGTAATCAAAATAAAATTCACGATGCTATCTATCACAAGTTTTCTCGCGAAAACAAGTTTTGTTGCCATATCAAAAAATTAGTGCGTTTAAAAGTTAGTCTAGTTTCAAAAGGTTTGAAAATTTCAAAATAAAAATTTTGGTTATTTTTGTTTACCTTCATTGTAATTTATTACAATATTTTTTTTTATACTATATGTCTGACGGCTTAAAAGAGGAAAGTTTCTTAAATTGAGAAGCAGATGTCATTGCGGCATGGTCAGGGCTGAGTCACTATATAAATGTGTTGGTGTTTGTGCTTATTTCTTTTAGATGGCGCTAGAGGAGGGACCCCGGGACATGGGTCAAAAATACAAAATCACAGTGAACTGTGATTTATCATTCGATTTTTGCGTAGCAACCCTAGCAAAATACTAGATTTACTGTTAATTAGGCGAAATATGGTCTTTATGCATCGTCTGAAAACAGCTCATTGGCAACAACGCGTGAGTAAGTAGTAACCATAGAAATGGTAATAATAAATGTCTTATTGAGGTGGTTTTGGCGGACCCAAATCCATTGTTATGGTAATAGTAACACTCTTGAGTTTTAGAGAAAAACCTAGGCTCAGGGTTCAGATGATATAATTAATATGGTCGAAACGTCAGGCAAAGCAGAGGTATGTAATACCCTAAATAAGAGATCGCGTTAATTCCCGTTAAATAATATTAATTATCATGGAACGCGAAAGTTTAAAAGTCAGATGATATAATAAAAAAATCTTGTAAGAGTGCTTTATTTCATGGCATGGATGGTATCATGGCCATAGATAATACACTATATGATGGTATATAGGTTCCTCAAGTAATAACGTAAATTTTACACATAGGTACTGATCATGATGCGATGGTCAATACTACGCAGGTACTTTCTTTAACGGTAATGATACTTTTATCTTCTAACACGTCTTATAACAATTTATTTTTTAACTGTTGTTTAAAATGAAAAAAAAGGGCCAACAAAATTTATTTTCATTTACCTACTTCCTAGTTAAGTTTCGTACACTCATCTATACCTACCAATATTTTGAAGTGGTAAAGTTTGTTTGTTCGGGTAATCTCCGGTAGGTACTACAAATCCGATTTCGAAAATTTTTTTACTGTTAGAAAGGTATATTATCCCTGACTGCTATAGACTAGTTTTTATCGCGATAACTGACATAAACGTGGGCGGAGCCGCGGGCAAAAGCTAGTAGAAAATATCTTGAACATTCTTTTGTAGGTACTTTAGTTTTAAAATGGTTTGAAATTTGACTCTCCGTATATACTCCGTTTACTGCGAAATACTCTCCGTGTCTTTTTCGGTAATCTTGCTCATCTGTTTTCTTAAAAGTAAATATAGTTATTAAGTTAAGTAATAAAGAAAGCAATAATTTGACAATGAGGTATAAAAACCAGTACGTAATCTCTTAATTGAAGAGTGGTGTTCCTAACAAGGAATAGGTTGTGGTCCAATTGAGATAATTTGATATGTGAGCCACGTTACTCTAAAGTTTTTGGACCATTCGAGAGTCGGCACAAAAAACCGCTGATAATAATTTCTTTAGTTGCTTTTCACTAAGTGAATTTAGTTATTAGAGCAAGCTCCTAGTCAAGCATTCGTCTGCTGATTTATCCCCTTTGTCAAAAAGAAAAAAAAATCCTTTAAGTAAGTTATGCATAAAAAATCAACAATTTAACATCTATCCATCCTCGCTTCGCTACCTACGCAAATAATATTAGTCGGATATACGATTGGCATTATTTTTACACGCTTTATATTAGTTTGTATGTTTGTTTGTAACCGACTCCTTTGGGCGTGATTTTGACTGACTTTAAACGGTCAGAATTCGTTCAAACTTTGTAGATATATCAAGGACCGATGACAATACACTAATTAAAAAAATTGGTTTGGTTTTCTATAAAAAAGCGTGTTTTTTAGTTTTTTAAAACTATTATTTTTTTATGTCATAATATTATGTCATTGTAAATTAGTAACATGCATACAGTATATCCAGTACAGTATATCCTATGCATACATAACAGTATATTGGAATAAGAAAATAGGTACATACGTATTGCATTATTACTACTTATTTTATTATTCCAGTAGTAGTTAGTGTAGTAAAAGGCCTTAGTACAATGGTCTAGGGTCACTAAACGAGTGGATCTTAAAATTAACATGGAGAAGAAGAAAATTATATCGAAAGTCCTTGTCGCACCCACTTCAGTGAAAATTAGAGACTGCTCGAAGTTGTTGACGATCTGGTGAAGGTCGCGGGAAACGGTTGGATTCTGGCAGCACAGGACCGGTTGTTGTAGATAAACTTGGGGGAGGCCTATGTCCAGCAGTAGACGTCTTTCGTCTGAGCAGGAGAAAAAGTATGCTATCTTGTATCTACGCTTACCCTAAGCTTGTTGGGCCTGTCAGAATGTAAGGAACAAGGCAATTACAGCACTGTCTGTATATAATGTTATAAGTTATTACTATAATCATAGACTATTAAATCGTATATGAGATTTTTTCGTCTCAGGGTATGTTTACATCGCGTCGGTAGAGGTCGGTTGAGTAGAGAGCACTGATGGTATATCAATAACACTCCTCCTTAGTTTGACAGGAAGTTAAACTATCCTTTATATTGTCCCTCCATCCATGCCCTTTATACCATGAAGTGCATTATGCATTTTGACTTATGATTTGGTCAGAACAGTCAATTGGACAAAGACCAGTCGGCATTTTGCCATCAACCTTCCTGTAAGTTGCTCGAGTTTGTGTCCCTCCTTTTAGACAAAATATTCTAAAATTTGGCCTAAGCAGGTTATAAAAAGACTAGTCTCTATATTGAGTTTTCAAATCATGAATTTATTTGCTATGATGTTTAACTCTCAATGATTACCCCGGAACCAGGAGTTCTAATATAATGATTAAATTGTCAGAACTAGATGTAATGGTACTTGAAGTTCTTTTAAGTACCTGGACTGAGCCGATCACAGATAACAATCAAAGAGAAAAGTTTAAAGAGTCTGCTTCCCTTACGTTTTTTATAAATCTAAGATATTAAGGATTAAGATGATTAGGACGTGTAATACTTATTACTTTTTTTGGTGTAATATTATCACGGCTACAAAGTCGCTTGTGTTTTATAAGTAGGTACTTGTAAGTTTTAACATATTCTCTACAGGTACTTTTCGTAACAAAATTATTTTTATCTATAGCTGACTAGGGTTGCGATAGTTGTCAGCATTACAAAATGTTCCGTTGGATCGAAATATTCGGCAATTTTAAAAGGCAAATATTACAGCGACTTAGTCCTTATTTATGTTCTATTTATTGGATGGGCAAAATGCTATGACAGTAAGAAATATAGGCTGAGTATGATATGAGTATGTATTTTTTATGATAGATAGATACACTTTAGAATCCCAGCAGCAGTAGAGTCCGAGCCACAGCGAGTCTATATCTTGGCAAAAGGTAGGTATCTAAAAAGTAATGGTATATTATTGTGTGTATATAGTGTAACGTTCATCATGTTATTTGTTCACGGGTGGTCTAGCTGCCCTCAAGAATAAATAAAAAATATATTTGTACATGTTACTTATAGTGTCCACAAATACTCAGATGAAGCACTTACATGCGTCATCAGCATCAAATATTTTCTCATAAACTCCGTCTAGCATCGATCGTAAAGTGTGCGTGCTCGTCTCTGTCAAATTTCCAATAATCTTATTTTGGCGCGCATCAGCCACTCCGATGACGGATATATGGGAGCCATCTTGGTTGCGAACGACGCGCATGCGCGCGGCCGTTCACCTGAAGCGCGACGATAGTTTTACGACACCCCTATATTTTGCGACGATAAAAATAATAGTAACACCTTGACCAAGCCGAGAATATCGGTCAAATTGTTTTTAATTTTAGTGTACATTTTATATGACATCCGATAAAGTCGAAATTACGTTTCTACTTTAGCTACGGTAGCACCACGTAATTAAGGCGTATTACCTACACTTCTGTATACAGATAGGGGCTTCTGATAGACATGGGACAAAATCACAGTAAACTGTGAATGAACGGTGATTTATCATTCGTTTTTTTCGTACGTAGGTTAGGGTTACTACTTATTCACGCCTTGTTGCCAATAAGCTGTTTTTAGACGATGCATAAAGACCCTATTTCGCCTATTTTACAGTAAATCTAGTAAATATTTTTTTTATATATTTAGCTACAATTCCCTACATAATCATTTAATAAAAATACTTGTGTCTGAAATTGAAACTTCCTTAGCGGAGGTTTCACATTGGGGGCGACTAAATCTAGTCCAGTTCAACCCAAAAAAAACACAGGTCTGTGCGTTCACCGCAAAGAAGATACCATTTGTCGTATCACCTCGGTTTGAGAGCACCTCCCTAACTGCCTCAGCTAGCATCGGAATCCTAGGCACATATCGAGCGAAGTCCAGTTTCGGGGTCACTTAGAGGGTAAGGTCATATTGGCCTCGAAGAAGCTCGGTGTGCTGAACAGGTCGAGGCGGTATAAGTAGTATAAGCTCTATAAGGCGCAACTCCGGCCGCATATGGAATACTGTTCTCATCTCTATGCAGGGGCACCTCAGTACCAGCTTCCCCCTTTGGGCCGCATCCAACGAAGAGCGACTTGAATCGTCGATAGCCAAAACATCTCCGATCGGCTCAATCCCTTGGCGTTACGTAGAGATGTGGCTTCACTCTGCATACTTTATCGCATATATCATGGAGAGTGCTCCGAGGAATTGTCCGGACTAATACTAACCACAACTTTCCGACATTGTTCCACACGGCAAAATTTTCATCCTCATCACCTGGATAGTTGGCGCTCCACCATTGTGCGCTTTTCGAGACACTTTTTGCCCCGCACAACCAATTTGTGGAAATTATCGGGTTATCGTCTGCGGTATTTCCGGACCGATACGACCTTTAAGGAAAGAGCGCACTCCTTCCTAAAAGGCCGGCAACGCGTTTGTGACTCCTGAGTTGCAGACGTTCATGGGCGGTGATGGTCACATTCCATTAGGTGATCCTCGTCTACCCCCTCAAAAAAAAAATAGATTTATAGTTAAATAGCGTCTAACCTACCAACCCTAGCAACCCTAACCTATCTATCGAATGGTAAATCACAGTTCACTGTGATTTTGTCAAATGTCTAGCTTCTGACCACTCCTGGGCTCTCCTCTTTAATGCCATCATTAGTATTCTAAGCGTGTGTACGCACTTGAAGACCATTGGTTTCAACTTTTACATCAATTCATTCTTGCTTTGTTCCTAGAATTTTTCGTTTGAAAAGGCTGTTTGATAAAATAATAACAAAATTAACGGTATGCGCGCACTCCTGCGCAGTATTCTAGCGCTTCAGTAAACAAACGCTACTGTTTTATGTTTACAGTGAAAGTTTTGTACTAGTAGGGTCACCATGACTATTATTGGTGCATGATGAATGCATTTTATAAATATTAGGTCATCATAAAAATATATCTGTTATCGTATCTTCTTATACGTTTAAGAAAAAGACAATAGTTACTTGTTCGTAGTTTGTGCGCTGCCGTTCCTTTTTATTTGATTTTCGCAAAGTTATTATAAAATTACGACCCATGCGCACCTATGTTGAAGGTCTGTAAATAATACAAATGTTGGTATTGAGGATTTTTTAAATTTGAATCCATACTAATATTAAGTATAAATGCGAAAGTGTGTTTGTCTGTCTGTCTGATAAAATTTGGTATAGAGATAGTTTTTATCCCAGCAATCATCCTTTAAGAGGGTGAAAAGTGGGGTGGAAGTTAGTATGAGGAATTAATAACCGCTGAACCGATTTAGATGACATTTGGTATGGAGATAGTTCGATTCTTGAGGAAGGACATAGGCTACTATTTACCGCGGTAGCTAGCGACACCGTGAAGCTAGTATAATATATTCGTAATAATTTGACAAACAAGTGCCTATCGCTGCGCATGCGCTTTCTAATAATGTACTACTGTAAATAGTAGACAATATTTTTACCTCAAATTTTAAGAGACGGAAGACTATGGAGGATATTTAGTAAGCTGGAAACAAATTGTCCGAACTTTCTAACAATATTTGGTGCATGTACGTGGCCGTTTTTCTGGTGGTGCATCCGGCGGCGGCGCACGAGTGGCCGCTGACAGACAAATGGTCTCAGGAAGACCGCGTCGTTATCGCTGTCGTCGCCTGCGCGCATTAAACTTAAATAAAACCAACGCTCGCTACTAAGAGCTCATGATTTTTCACTGCTTCCATGTTACAGTACCTTTGTGATATTTTTAGTTTTATATTTATACAGTTGAGGTCGTTGTAGTTTTGACTTTCAAAATTCGAAATTTAAAAATTGATTTTAATTTAAATTTAAAGTATTTTTTATTCATTACCATTTAGTTAAAAAAAAGTTTTCTGCAGTCAACAAATTCGAAATTCAAAAATTGTTTTTTATTTAAAGTATTATTTATTCATTATTACCACATTAATTAATTCAGTGATATCTACTTTGTTAGTTAAAAAAAGTGAACATACCTACCCATAAAGTTTCGCACCGCCCGTCTGTCTCTCCGTCTGCAGTTCAGCTCAGAGACTCGTATTTGAAAGTTGGTATTTGTATTTGTATATAGGTATATAATCATGCTAACAAAATAGTAAAAAAAAAATTGAGAGTATCTCCCATATAAAGGGAGGATGAATATCATTTTTTCGTTTATCTCGCTGGGTATGGTTGGTTTTCAATAGGTTTAAAAAAAATGTAAGTACTAGTTTTTGCTCGCAGTTCCATCCGCGTGTATGTGTTATCGCCGTAAAAAGTAGCCTATGTTACACGCTAATACTGTAGCTTTCCATTGGGGAAAGAATTAAAAAAATCGGTTAAAAAGTTTTGGCATGAAATCGTTATAAACAAAGTCACTTTCACATTTATATTATACTACCTTTTGCTCGCGGCTCCTCCCGCGTTATATCGGTTATATCGGTGAAAAGTAGCACAAGTTACTGGCTGATAATGAAGCTTCCCATTGGTGGAATATTTTTTAAAATCTATTAAGCGTGAAAGAATAACAAACAAACAAACTTACTTTCATAATCATTAAATAAGTATTAATGGGTGAAAACCATTATTTAATTCAGGGGGATAACTTTGTCTCGCGAAGGAGACGGCGGAACGGGACCGGGAAAGGTTTAGGACTCTCCCAGCCCGCCAGGCCCGGGAACGGGCCAGGTACCGCAGGCGACTCAGGCGCCGGGGGTCGCAGAACGACCTCCGTCCTCCATAAGCGCAGGCCTGGGGGTGACAGGTGAGGCCATCTGTCACCCTAGCAGAAGCAGGCCGGGGTGGCGGCGAGCGCGTTGCGAAGCGCGCTATAATGCATTTGCATGCGCGAGACTCTAATTCATTTTTTTTTGTTAAAGTCAAATGCTGAGCTAAACGGTTGTTTATGAATACGTGAAACAATTCACAGCTATAGTATAATTAAAGTAAACTAAATAAATTATAACTAAATAAATAATTTCGAGAAAGTTACCTTAACGAAATTAAATCAATCGAATTTAAATTCATCAAAATTTTAATTACATTAGGAAACCAATAAAACAACTTAATCGGAATCAGTGTAATTTCATCTAGGTAAGTAGGTATTTCTGATTGGCTTGTTGTGAGTGAGGTTTGCCGGAGCCTCATCCTCCCATATTTCTGCCCCCCCCCCCCCTCAGAAAATCAAGGAAAGAACTGATTAACACCGGTTTTCTGTGAGGCCGAGTCCCATTTTTGCTGAAGCATAGCTTACCCAAAGTTAATCAGAAAGTGATCACTTGAAATATTTATACTCAGTGCTAATTTTTAAGAGTCTAATGTTCCCTTGACAGTTAAAAGGTTGTTTATGAATACGTGAAACACTTCGCAGCTACAGTAAATACAACGAAGTTAAAAGGAAAACGACCACTTACAAATCTGTGCGGACCCGTTTTAAACATTTTTACCGGGAACTAATAATACGGCATTTGCGAAATGCAATTAAGGAACTATGTACTGGCCCGATAGACACTTGGCCGATTTTATTTACTCGGTCAAAACAGTTTTTATCATTAATTGTGTCCGTCTGATAGCCCGTCTGATAGCAACTGATTACCAGCAAATTTAACAACTCTAAACCTGTGCATCACATGTGCATTACATACCTATTCCTTCTCTCTTTCTAGAAGTTCCAACGATCTCAATAATCAACCGACCGACTAAGCCGACTAAGAGAGCAAACTAAGAAGGAAGATAGTACTGCGAATGGCATAGTAGGTGAAAAGTGGACTATTAAAAGGCTGTTGATGATGATGATAACGGATACGTATACTAGAGAGGCACCCACCCATCCAAGTAAAAGAACCTTATTTTTGATTAACAGTTCAGCTGTGGTATGCATTATTGCTAAGTATACTTATGTACCAAAAAAGCTTTAAGGCTCATTTTCATGAATAAGCTTACCTTTGGAAGTACTAGTCGGCTCTTAAAAAATATATTTATGAGTAAATGATGTCTACATAAATAGAGTTATTTAACATCGAGTATGTACCCTTTGGAATGAAGCATGCGGTGACTGAGCACGAGAAAATATGGGTAAGCTCCCGTAATAATGCAGAAAACGGCAGTTTACTACACAATTTTATTTCATTTCATAACTATTCAAGGTTTATCTTATACAAGAAATGACATATCTATTATGTGAACAAATCATCCTTACTAATAAAACAAAACTAAGGAAATAAACAATCGC